CCCCCGCGCAGGGCGCCGACTGCCACCTGCCCCCCGCCGCCGGGACAGGTTCCCCCGGCCCGGGACGCTGCAACCCCCACACACTAAGGTCCTCCCTTCCAACTCCCCCCATCCCCAACGCACTCGGCTCTCCCTTTGCAAGTCCCCATGCACTGCGGTCCTCCCGTACAACCCGCTCCCCACGCACTGGCGCAGCCGGAGCCGCCGCGGACTTTACCTGCCGCGCGCCGCCCATCATCCCGGCCCAGCCCGCGTCTCCCGCTGCTGCTCGGCGCGAGGAGGGAGGGGGCAGCGGGACCCGCCGCCGCACGCTCACTCGCCCTCTGTCTCGCACGCTCTGCCTATCTCCCCAACACGCGCGCTCCAGCCTTTCCCTCTGGCCCCGCCTCCGCACTCTCTCCCTGCCCTCGGCAATTTCCTCACTCGCCATTGGACGCCGGCGCTGCCATTTGCCCGCGGCCAAACCACGCCCACCTTCCCCTGGCCCCGCCCCTTGTGGCATAGTGTGGGGGGGGTGGTGCTGAAGAGCCGTGAGGGGGTCTTGTTGGGGGGACCTAGGCAGGAGGGTGCTGGGATGTAGATGGGCAAGGCCCAGGAGGACTCCAGTGGAGGGCAGTGAATATGTTGAGGGGGCTGGGGGCAGGGCTTCTGAGGAGAGGCTGAGGGAACTGGGCTTATTTAGTCTGCGAAAGAGGAGACTGAGGGGGGAATTTAATAGCAGCCTTCAAATCCAGGAAGAGGGGTTTGAAAGAGGATGGAGCTGGACTGTTCTCAGTGGTGGTGGATGGCAGAACAGGGAGCAATGGTCTCCAGTTGTGGCAAGGAGAGTTTAGGTTAGATGTTAGGAAGAATTTTCTCACTAGGAGGGCAGTAAAACACTGGAACAGGTTACCCAGAGAGGTGGTAGACTCTCCATCCTTGGAGGTTTTTAAGACCCAGCTAGACAAAGCCTTGGCTGGGGTGAGCTACCTGGGGATGGTCCTGCTTTGAGCAGGGGGTTGGACTAGATGAGCTCCTGCGGTCCTTTCTAACCCTAATTTTCAAGGATTCATCCCTGCACCAGAAAGCCAAAGGGAATCTGTTGGGCCCTTGATGCTGCAATCTCAATTGGCCTCTCCTTAAAGACCCCGGACAACTCTGCCCAAGCCCACCTCTCGGGTCTCCTATGTGGCTGCTTCTTGTCCCTTCCACCCTCCTCCCGTGTCCATGCCATGGCCTCCTATTCCAGTTTTCTGTGCCATAAGGCACTGAATGACCTTCCAGTCCCAGATACCCACCCTGGTCTCATTCAGATACCTTGGAAAGTCCCATTTCTTCTGTGAGCCCCACAGGAGAGCAGCAATGTTAACTATAGATAGCCAGGAATAAGAACTGGTGGTACTTCAAAGACTCAGTTAAAAAAAATAAGCACCCATGAATGACATGCATATGCAAGTGCAAGTGACATTTGTGTGGAGTAAGGAGCTGTGACAACCCCAGACTGTGTTGTTGGAAAATGTTTTGCTTTTTGGTGCTGGTCTGTAGTCCATGTCATATATTAGATTTGCACCCTTTTTTTCAAAACAATAAAGCTATTTCTAGTATAACAAATGCATGCAAAACTGTTCTCCCAAAGTGCAGAATGTGTCACTCTTATACTGTCACCTGGTTGGGGCCTGAAATGGTCTTTATCCTCTGTTTTGAAGAGCGCCGAGGAAAGTGTTTTTGCTTCACGAATACTACCATGCATCCAAACTTCATCCACCTCCACGAGCATCAGTCAGGTGTAATAACTGATTCAATCAACGTCTGGTTTTTGCTTTGACAAAGTCACCACCCTGAATTTCCCCACTTTTATTATCAGGATCAGTTAAGACAAAATGCCAAACATGCCATCATGAGGCCAACCTTCCCAAGATGAGGTTCCAAAATAAGTACAAGGTTAACTTTCATCAAGATCCTTGCTGAGATATTTTCTCATCAGCTACTTGAAACAACAAGGAGGCCTGCAATATCTTTTAAACAAAAAACAACCAACCAACCGACAAAAAAAAACCCCAACACACAGAACATACAAAAGCAAACCCACTGTGCTACCTTTTTTCCTGTCTCCGTGTATGTAACTTTCTGGTTGTACCAGTCTCAGGCCTTGCAAGAAGGCAGCATGTTAACATTTACAAGTATCCTGCTGTCTTGTAAAGTTCACTTTACTGTCTACCCTTCCTATAGGAACAGAGCAAAAGGGAATAGTGAAGAAAAAATAACACACGTACTCCCATCATTCAAAAGACACATGGTAGCTCATATTGCAGTTTTCTAGCCTTCATCATCCCTTTTAGATTATTTTAATATCAGAAATATATCCCTAGCCTCTCATTCAGTAGATTGAACACAGAAAGCATGTGAACAGAGGGGAAAAACACACATGCACGATTTACTCCCAAGCACTGACAAATGGTATATAAATTACTTAGTATTTGGATTCCTTTTTGAATATTATTATTTTTAGCCAAAGTGACTATTGCAGCTTAAGCAACGGAAGGTTTGTCTATCAAAACAAGAAAAAGGAACAAAGAAACTCAGATAAAACAAACAGCAAGTGAAACAACAAGGTTTTCCATTATGACCATTTGATAAACATTGTCTTTCTTGGAAGTATAATTCCTCTAAAACCCTGGCTAACCCAGGAAATCTCACATCAAGAGAAACAATTCTCAACCCAGAGAATTAGATAGATTTAAATGAAAGACAAAGCTCAGTCTGCAGCATTTGCTGTAATTTCATTCTAGCCCATAGTCTCATTACTGTAGTGTTTTGGCTACTTATACCTCTGAGTCTCACTCTGGAAACCAAGTGCCTCTCTAGACTTTAAGCTCTTTATAACAGTTATTCAGTTCTTGTTCCTTGTGGCTCTTGCTGTCACTCAGTTTCCTGATCGAAGGGGAAGTTATGGCACCAAAAAAAGACTTTTTCAGTCCATCTTAATATCCCCTCAAGGAGTTCCCTCAATCCCTTTCCAGTTTTCCTCCTCTTATTTGCTCCCCTTCCCCCTCCCCCTCCCCCACTCAGATTTACCACTTGTTGGTCATTTTGGCTCAGGACTGAAAGCTCTCAACATCCCGTCATTACTGCTCCCAGGTTGACAAATGTACATTAATACTAAGTCATGAAAAATGGTCTCTGGCAAATTTTATTCTCAAGCTACAGCACAATTTGACCAAGAATTTGTTTCCCACGATCTTGCCAGGCTGAGAACAAGAGGCTAAAAGGTCTCATAGTTGCATTCTCTACTAGGGCTTGTGCAATGTGTTTCACTGGATGTCTAACCTTATCTCTCTCTCTCTCTCTCTCACTCTCTCTCACACACACACACATATATACACATATATATATATATATTGACTGCTGCATGGAGCAAGGAAAGTTAAGAGGAGCACTATGTAGACAAGCCTTGACCAGGAATGTGCTGTTTCTACAAACCTCCACTAGGTGTCCTCTACCAATTGCTGAGCTGTATTAGAAATACAGTACTATATTCAGGCAATCTCCCTATAGGATTTTAAGTTTTCTCTAGCTTTGTTTTGCTTAACTCATCTAGCTAAATGACTCATCCTACTGTGACTGGTTTTATTTTTTTCCCCCTGCCTACTACATCCCAGTGTTGCTGAACTGTTGTTTTACAAGCTTGGCTATTTTACATGTGAAAGATTTTGGATCTGATATAGCGATATGCTGACATATCATAACAAACAGCACTGTTACATCCTCTAAGCTAAAAACAGCATTTGACATCTGCTTGGTGGGTTCTTTTTATAAGATGTATTTCATAAAGCTTATTGGATACGGAACAATTTTTCCCACAATATTTACTGTTTCACCTATCTTCTCAAAGAAACAATATGCTAAGGAAAATTGGTTGAAAGTTCTAGGTTTCCTATAAGTTCAGGGGCATTCCTATATCCCTCATAGCCATGTTATGAAATCCTTACAAGTATGCACCTTATGGCCTTACTATTAACTCCTTCCTGCACTTAAAGTTAAGTGAATCCTTCCCCACCCCCACCCACCTTCAACCTCTGCAGAGAAGTACAAGGTCAATATGCCATTTAAAGTCTATTTAATAAGGCTTTAATTTGTTTTGAGAGGTCCCTGGGCCTTGTGCTAGTACTGTGAAAGTGAGGGAAGTTTCGCCTTTAAAAAGCATACCTAATATAGCAGTGCAACCAGGTAAAAATATTTGTTAGCTGACTGAATGTGATAAATGGCAGGAGCATGGTATATTAGCAGGTGTGACAAGATGCATACAGTATACTGGCTGTGCTTAAGCTGTTTTTCTAAAATTACACATTACCTGCAACTTGTCAAGGTCCAATAAACAGCTGTTGTCATACAGTAAATGCTGTGGTGTCACAACAATCTGAGATCTGGACTCTTGCTGGAAGCCCTTTTTTTCTCTCCCTCTCCCTCTCTCATGTAGTATCACCTCATTTGTCTGCCAGGCTACCATCTGTATGCCCTCAGGGAGTCAATAGAACAACAACAAAGGAAAGGAGACAGAGTACAGGTGAGAAGAAGTAAACAGGAGCTGCTTGCATTAACAAGGATCCATTCAAGGAGGAGGAAGAGAAAGAGGGTGAAAATGCCCTGTCCTAGCAAAAACCTAAAAATGGAAAGTGTAACTGGAAAAGGACAAAATTAAATGGGAGGGGGTTGAGTTTCCTTTGACTTCCAAATCAGCCCCAATGGGATCCATTTTACTAGAATGTTGCCAGGAAGGGTGCCTCTCCTGTCATAACACTTGGGATATATAAAAACCAAGTAGTATCATCTCTTCAAATCTCCACTCCCACCTCACTTTCAAATCAGCACCAACACAACATGATTCCCCAAGTACTCACATATGGAGCTCAGATTCAGAAACTGCTAACCTACTGGTGGTTCAAAAAGTCCATACAGGTTGATTTAAAGCAGGAGTGTCCAACATATGGCCCGTGGATCAGATCTGGCCTGTGAAGCCATATGAGCAGGCCCGTGGATGTCAGAATGACCCCCCATGCTACCGGGTATCCAAGTGAAACGGCTAAATAAATATATATCAACCACAAGATTACAGAACTATTTAGAGAGGTCACACCCCAACATATATTTCCTCTAATATTGGTCCATATTTTCTTATGCATTCAATGAAAGTGAAATCCACAAAAGTACAGAAGATTCATAGAGGGCCCTATGCATAATCTGAACCTCTCCATTGTGGGGTGGAGGGACTTCTGGACAGAGAAGATGCAAACACAGTGGCTTTCACATCTCCTATACACCACCAGTCATTCTCTCTTTGGGCCACTCCAACACAACCCAATGTACAAGGTAACAT